ATCCCTCCTATCCTCACTCGTGAACAAGACCCCGAGATACTTAAATTCCTCCACTTGAGGTAGGACCTCCAGAGATTAATTGTAAATAAATACTACACATTGTCCCTTTAATTTAAATTCATTTAATTCAAATATGTTTTGCACAAACAACCAAAAATCCACCACAAATCACCAGTTTTTCTGTTAGAATAAATATATTTCATAATTGTTTTCCTTTTCATCTTCAGTGTTCTTCAAAGCCTTTGTTTTACCTCAACCATTTTGCACACAGGTTTTCTAGTTTAAAGCTCCTTTTTTTGTTAAATCTTTAATTCTGTTGCTTTATACGAATCTGCTTCAATCAGTTGCAGAACAATAACGGGTAAAGTTGTAACTTGGGTTACATTTTCACCTTTTTTAGTTTTTCTGTTAAAATAAATGTGTTCTGATAAATCCCTACACCTGTTTTTGATTTTCCTCTGTTTATTGCAACTCCATCCTAGACATGAGTTATGTTGTTGACATGTATTATATTATTGTTAGAAATGCGCCTATTCGATGATGTCATCGGAAATCGGCCCGTCACGTGTTTTTTGAAAGGATCAGAATCAGGAGAAATAAATCGGATTTAACCTTTTAAAACAACAAATATGACTTTTTAAAATTCATTCTTGTCATGGTCTGCATCTGCGTCTCCCTCATGTGTCTCCTTGTGTTATCCATCCCCCCTAGGATCCCCTTATGTTCCTCATGTGTCCCCTTGTCTGCAGCCCCTCGAGGTTTTCCCCCCCAGGTGTCCCGTCCCCCCCCCCCCCCCCCCCAGGTCCTGTGCTCCCGTTGGTCTCCCCTAGTCACCCCTCTGAAGTCTTTCTATAGGTTCAGTTTTTCATTTAATTAGTCTCTTTTTAGTGTGTTTCTTTCTCCACCGGTGTTTTAGTTCTCCTCACTCCTTAGATCATTAGTTGTTTATCTTAATCTTCTTGTCTTTAGGTTTTGTTTTTACTCTTAGGTCATGTTATTTTCCCCTCCTCAGCTCACTTTCCCCTCACTGATTGCTTAATTGATTTCACTAGGTTTCTCTCCCCACACACCTGCAGCTCATCTTCCACTCATCCTGCCCCAGTGTGTTTAACCCTGTCTGCGTCTCACTGTGATGTTGGTTCATTGTTTCATGTCAGTGTTGTTTTGTTCTTTTGCTTTTGTTCTTTGTTAACTCTGCAGTCAGAGACGCTAGGGTTTCCTATTTCTCCAACCTGGTGTCCCAGAGCAAAGGGAACCCCAAGGTGCTGTTTAACACCATCATCAGCATCGTCTCTCCTGCCTCTCCTACAGCCTCCATCCACTCTGTTGCAGACTGTGAGAACTTTCTGTCTTTCTTTGTGGACAAAGTCAATAAGGTTAGATCTAGCATCTCTCCTTCAGCCTTATCGCTGCCTCTCCCGACTCCAACCAGACCCATAAGCCTAGCTTTGCTCCTGTTTCTTTGCCTGAGTTAACCAAACTAGTTAACTCTATGAAGACCTCTGCATGCCCCCTCGACATCTTACCCTCATCTTTGTTTAAAAGTGCTTTTCAGTCCATCAGTCCCAGCGTGCTCTCTATAATTAATGCTTCTCTGGTTTCTGGTCAGGTCCCTGCTTACTTTAAGAACGCTGTAATCCACCCGCTTCTTAAAAAACAGAGTCTTGACGCCTCTCTCCATAGCAGCTTCAGACCCATCTCTAAACTTCCGTTCATCTCCAAGATCTTGGAAAAAGTTGTGGCTAAACATCTCACAGCTGCTCTTGATGAACATAACATCTATGATAGCTTCCAGTCAGGTTTTCCTAGAGCTCATTCTACTGAAACAGCTCTTCTTAGGGTCTCTAATGACCTTCTGACTCACAGTGATGCAGGGGACTGTTCTGTTCTGGTCCTGCTGGACCTGACTGCAGCCTTTGACACTGTTGACCATCACCTGCTACTGGAGAGGCTGAGAGACTGGGTAGGCCTATCAGGATCTGCTCTGGAGTGGTTCTCCTCTTATCTTTCTGAGCGCTCCTTTTCTGTGGCCGTCTCCAAGTTTAGGTCCTCCACCACCTCTCTTACCCATGGTGTCCCACAAGGTTCTGTGCTAAGGCCTCTGCTCTTCCTCCTCTATCTGCTTCCACTTCAGCACATCCTGAGCTCCTTCAAAGGAATCTCCCCCATCTTTATGCAGATGACATCCAACTGTACATCTCCTTTAAGCCCCATGAGATGTCTAAGCTGCAGCTGTTACACACCTTCTTAGACTCGTATCAAAACCTGGATGGCTGGGAACTTTCTTCAGCTGAATGAAGATAAGACTGAGATCCTCATCTGTGCCCCAGACAAGCTGGTTCCCAAAGTCAGAGACTCTCTTGGTCAGCTTGCTTCTCACACCAAACCTTCTGTCAGGAATCTTGGCGTGACCTTTGACCCAGCTCTCATCCTGGATTCTCATGTCAGTTCTCTTGTTCGCTCTTCCTTCTTCCATCTCAGGAACATTGCTAAGCTGAGTCCCATTCTGTCCCGCTCTGAACTTGAGACAGTTATCCACACCTTCATCTCCTCACGCTTAGACTACTGTAACTCTCTTTTCACGTGTCTGAGCAGAACCTCCCTGAACCGACTACAGGTGGTTCAGAATGCCTGTGCTCGGCTTCTGACCAAGTCCTCCAAACACACCCACATCACCCCACTTCTCCTCCAGCTTCACTGGCTGCCAGTCAACTTCAGGGTTCATTTCAAGATCCTGGTTCTGGTCTATAGGGCCTTACATGGACAAGCACCATCTTACATTGGTGATCTTCTTAGTCCCTACACCCCCAGCAGGTCCCTGAGGTCCAGTGATCAAAGCCTACTGGTTGTGCAGCACCAGGCTGAAGACCAAAGGTGACAGATCATTTGCTGCTGTGGCCCCCAGACTCTGGACCTCTCTCCCCCTGAGCCTGAGATCAGTGGACTCAGTGGTCTCCTTTAAAAAGCAGCTGAAGACTCACTTGTTCAAGCTGGCTTTTGTATGACCTTCTTCACCACTCTCTCTTTATTCTGCTCTCCCCACTTATTCCACCTTCCTCAGGATCCACTGATTTCCCTCTTTCCTGTTCACTCTCTCGCTTTAACATTTTTTCTTTGAAATCCCAATTGCCTATTTTTGCTCATTTTATAATACTTTTAAACATTTTCTAAATGCTTTTTTATATTTTTCGTTTTTGATTTCGTGAAGCGCCTTGTGATTTTTATCTTGAGAGGCGCTATAGAAATGATATTTTCTTCTTCTTCTTTCTTCTCCTTTAGGTCTCTAGGTTTTTGGCTTTGCCCTACTAGGATTTCTTTGGCTCTGCCCCCTTTTTTTTTTTTTTTTTTGCTTCGTACCATGCTTTGTTTTTTGCATTGGATTTGCATCCTAATAAAGATGTTTCATTTTACATCCTCTCCTGCTCCATATCATTCTGGGTGTCTGCACATCGGGTCCAACTCCTACACCTCTCAACATGACAATTCTGAGAAAGAGCCTATCAAATTGAATGAAAATGGCTTAGCTTTCATTTCAATAAGTTCCTTTACATCAATAATATTATTAATATAATAATAATAATTAGTTTCTTGTACAAAAACACAGTAACCTCACACAAATTACGGCAGGCAAGGACTCAGACACCAAGCATCGCTGTTAGCAAGCCTGCTAACACAGAGGTAACGTGTCACTTCAGGAGCAGGGACACCTCCAGAAAATTTTGATAAGGGTGGCCAGACGGGGCCAAAGAATTTTTTGGGGTGGCAGACCATACTGGTCCGTGTGGTAACTCTGGCAGAGTTGGCGATGTAGTGCATTGCTCCTTTATTTATTTATTTATTTTCAAAACAGTACGTTTCCAAAAATTTACAAACACAAAAATTTCAGAAAAATATATTTGTTATTTAAAATGTCATTTCAAATTTTATTTTTAAATGTATTTTGTTGTTTGTTCGTTTGTTTAATTCACATGTTGCTGTGTTCAGAAAAACTATGGACCAAGCATTATCACCGGTCTCCATTAATCTCCAATTTACCTCTAACAGAAAGAAACGGGGAGCAAGCCGACAGAGAAAGTTACACTAATAAACAAAGAGAAATCGCCAACAGACTGCAAAACATCTGGGTTTCTAGTTCTCATGCAGCATCGGAGCTGCGCATTGGAGCTACAGGTGTTATGAAGAGAAAAGTTAACCTGCCGTCTCCGCTTGCCTACTCCATCACATGAACACACATTGCTCACAGCTGCATATTGAGGGAGTAAACAACTTGAACTAAGAGCAACTCTCCTATTTTTAAGTATATTCACAATATAAACAAGTTTTTAATTGGTGTCCTGCCTAAAAAAACTGAAAGTGAAACTTAAAAAACAATTTGTGTTTCCTTATTTTAAAGCTTTCTTACCCCCCCCCCCCCCCCCATTTATTTATTTTTTATTTTAATGCTTTGCCAAAAGTTATTGATTTTTTATCCCTAATTACTGCATTCAGTAATTTATAAGTATGTGTGTCATATAATACTATTATATTCAATGTAGTCCATCATATATGGAATTTGTTTTATAATTAGCTTTAGCATTCTGCTATTTTTTTTTTATTTTGCCTATCAGGGCTCAGTGGAGAAAACAAGACCGCACCATCTGGTGGCCTTATCAAGTATTATATGAACAACAACAAAGTTTCTTCTAAATTTTTACCGAAAGCTTTTGTCTGCCCCGGAACATTTTTTAAAAATTTGGTTAAAGGTCATAAAGTCAAGACAAAAAGATTTAGATAAGGTATGTTAGGTTTAGATCATGGAACACCATAAAGAAAAAGGTAGTTTTAACTTGATTTTCTTGCTTTTGAAAAGTAATGAACATACTATAACCAATGGAAAAAAAACTTATTTTTCATTACAGTAATTACCTGAGGACGTTATGTGTAGCCGTTTATTATTAGAAAAATACTCTCAGGTCCATGGAGATAGTTTCGTTGTTCAATATATTTAACTCCTGTCCAGTAGATGGCGGTAGTGCACCTTCACGCTTGTCCCCAAAAACAAACAAGGAAAATGGAAGCTGGGACTGGCGGAAGAGCTCGTCTAAGGTTATCTGCGCCATCTGCGTGTTACATGTTGCGAATCTTGTTATGTGTTGAGCTGAAACAGTGGGGCTTTGGAGGCGCCCGGCCTGTCTAAAGAAGAAGATAACGGAAGCGGTTAGCTAAGTTAGCTTGTTGTTTTGGTGTAAGGTGGATATTTGAGACTCTACAGAAACAATGGCTTCAGGCCAGTCTCTGAGAGAATTTATCTGCAAGCGACTTTCTGCTGCTGCTGAAGAAATATTCTCAGAGTTTGAAGAAACCATCATCCGGTACGAGAAAGAGATCGCTCGTCAGCGCAGACTGCTGGAGCTCAGCTGGAACCCACAGATCAACTTACACAGAATAGGTGAGAAAACACCAGCGGGACTCTAGAAAGTGGGTTCAAACACCCAGAGTTGTGTAATTTTACCGATAAAATGAATAATAGATCAATTTAAACCGGAAGAACGAGACTGAGCGCGCTGTTTACAGTAGTAACCCTACCCTAACCCAGGGGTCGGCAACCTGTTCCCATCAAAGAGCCATCATTACCCGTTTCCCACAGTAAAGAAAACACTGGGAGGCCACAGCAGCCGCGCCGTTGTGGGCGGGGCCTACCCTCAGACATCTGAGCTGCTTTTAACAATCACAACAGGTGACAGCGGTCGCTCGTGTACGTCAAAGTTATCTTTCATAAGAAGATAAGCAATAAAACGATTTATATAAAGTGGATCCAGAAGTTGTAGCCCGTCTATGCCTACAATATTTAGATATTTTTCACCCTGTTGGTGGTTTTACTGAGCAGGTGCCACTTTTGTCATACGTTTCATTTTAAAACATGTTTAGACTGTTCAGAATACAAATCCAGGCTCTGTCACGTTTGATTGTTGTAATTAAACTTTGCAGGTGGGGAAGGTCAGAAAAGGATCCGATCATTTTGTTTTTCCCACGTTTACAGTGACGGAGATAACAGTGCAGTGCGCCTGGCTCTGGTGTTAATCAAGTTAAATTATATCTCTTTGCAACAATTTTCACAAGAAAACAGAACAGTTAAAAGCAGGGCTCGTGTTGACCGGACAGTTCTCGTATTTGACCGTTTATTTTGACGGAGAAAGAATAGAAAGAATTACCCCGACGCATGCAGACAAACTGACATTTTATTCGTTATGCACATCGCAGATGTAGCTAAATCACCCAAGAAAAGATTTCCTTCTGAACATCTGAGCTGGACACTGCTCAGCGCAGCTCGCTGTCAGCGCGTACATAAGGTCCACAGCGAGCTGAAGATGTGGAGAGGGGCTTGGAGCGCGTCGCAGAACCAGAGCGCATGCGGGAAGGTTCCTCCGACTGAAGCGAGCGTTTTCCAAACCCGGTCTCTCAGCGAGACTTGTCACTTAGAAAATGTTCCCTGATTATGAAACTTTGGCTGAATAGCGCTTGTTCCTGTCTCCAATGTGGCGACGCATCCATGAGCCTGTCTGAGGAGAATCCCAGAATCTCACATCCTCTTCAGCTCAGGAAGCGCCTATATGATTACGCACAAGCGTGACCCGTCAACCCGGTCTCACAGTCAGACCAGGTTGGACCAGTTGAGGTTTACACAGACAATCTTTACATTTAGAATTAGCTTACAGATGTAAAATGTATGCAGTAAAATATAAAGCATTTTATTTAAATATCCATTCATTAGTTTACAAGCACAGAGAGCCCCATCAGATGGATGGAAGAGCCGCATGCGGCTCCAGAGCCGCGGGTTCCCGACCCCCGCCCCAAACTGTTTTGGTCAAAGCACTGATTCAGGGGGATTTCACTGAGTTACATCTACTCTATCTACTCTACCTAACATGCAACAAGTAAGGACTCACGCCTCCAATGGGGCTGCTGCATCGGTGATTACGTCGCGATCAAGAGCCCTATTTAAAGTTGACAGATGTTCGGTGTTATGAGCTGAGCACACACACACCAGTCTGTATTAATGTGTGTGGTTATTTGTCTGTTTAAATGTTAATCATTTTCTGAAACATCTTCACATGCATCAGAATATTAAAGTGAAGTGTGCTTTCTTATTGTCACATGAATCAGGTTTTTTTTTTTTTGTCTGTCCAGAACTCCCACTGCATGATATCAGGAAAGAGGAGGAGATTCTGACTGACCAGCAGCTCTGGAGCCAGGAGAGGAGCTCCAGTTTGGACCTGGAAGAACCAGAACCTTTACAGGAGGGACTAGAAGCTCCACAGATAAAGGTGGAGCAGGATGAGCCAGAACTTTTGCAGATTCTAGAACAAGATGAGCTCAGCATCAGTCAGGATGAAGATCAATTAGTACTAAAGCAGGAGATGGGTACCTCCCTTGTGACTCCTCCTGAAGAGGAAAGAGACCACGATGACCCAGAACCAGTCAGCAACCAACTCCTTTTTTCAGCTTTTCCTGAGGCTGAGACTGGAGCCACTGCTCCTCAAGCATCAACAGGTGGGGGTTTTATCCTAAATTTCCTTTTTGTGATGTCACAAACGGAGACTTTTTGAAGCAGCTCATTTTAGGCAAACGGGGTGGAATCTACGGCTGTCTTTCTGACGGTCTCTACATGCTAATGGACAACAAACAACGTACTCACCACTATGGTTGTCAATCAATGGGCCAGTCCACCATACATTGTCAAAGAAGACGCAAATACGTCCTTTCTCTAATGAAAGGACCTAATACATTTATCTGCTCTTGACTCAAAGATAAGCCCAAGTCTAAATAGTCCAAAATTGATGCCAAAGCTGTTTCAAACGAGCTGTTGCCAACTTTGTTGTTTCGCTGTCGCATCATTCCGCCTACCAAACAATGAGAGGGCTGTGATTGGCAGAGCACAAGACTGTTTGAGCCTGCTGAGGTTCCCATGGAACGTGGCTAGACAATGCAGAGCAAAATCATTTTGCTTCAGCAACGGTCTGTCTTGATTTCCAGGCTAGATCTGACTGGCGTTTCTAACCCGAGCATTTTCTATTTCTTTTCTATTGGTGGCTCATGTGGGCAAAAAGGAGCAGAAGGCTATTTTCACGTTTAGCTTGCATGTGAAACTCGGGGTGACCGATCATATTTCAAAATAACAAATAAAAATGGTTTCTTTGTGAACCTGGCTTTTAAAAGAAAATGTTTTCTTTTGTCTTTTAGCCTGTCCAGAAGTTCTACGGGATCATGTCTGGGGAATAAAGGAGGTTCTGACTGACCAGCAGCTCTTTAACCAGGGGGTGACGTCCAGTGTGGACCAGGAGGAACCAGAACCTCAGCTGATCAACGAGACCCAGCAGGAACTCCGTATCCATCTGCACGAAGGGCCGTTCATACTGAAGCAGGAAAATGTTTTCCTTACGGCGGCTTCTCCTTCAGAAGAAACAGATGAGAACCAACCCTTGTGTCAGAGTTCTACTGAAGCTGAGAACCAAGATCAGGATGGATGCAGGAATGAAAACTCGGACTCGAGCAGGAATGAAGCACTGACACGGAACGATCAGGGAGATGGTCAGAAACTAAAGAAGCACAGCCGTGAGAAACGAGTCTCATGTACCATCTGTGGGAGATCTTTCAGTGGAAATCGATGTTTAGGTATTCACATGAGAATGCACAAAAGGAAGAAACCACAGCCATGTAAAATTTGTGGTAAATGTTACTCTCTTTGGAAACCCTTCAATGCACACATGATGGCTCACGAACGTAGAAAGGAATATCCGTGTGAGATTTGTGGTGAACGTTTCTTCTTGATTAGTATTTGGGCTAGTCACATGAAGACTCACACACGCGAAGAGCCACGGTCATGTATGTTTTGTGGTAAACGTTTCTTCTCAAATCGTAATTGGACTAGTCACATGAGGACTCACAGGCTAGACGCCATATCCATGTGAAATCTGTGGTAAATGTTTTTCTCAGCTTACTTGACTAAACACGAGGAAACTCATTGCGGGCCATGTTCGAGCTGTAGGAGTTTCAGAAATTATCTTTAAATAGCAGGTTTGCCGAAAAACCTTTTTTATTATTTTTGAAAATGATCCGTCTGAGCCTTGGTTGGCCCGGAAAAATACCAGGCCACCCAGATATGTAAACAACCTACGCTACCCGGCCCGGGTTGAGCGCGCTTTTTCGAGTTAATTGGAGTTACTTTAATAAAGTTTTTGGAAACGCAAGTTTGGAATGGCAGCTGTTACAACCCGTCTAGGAGGGCCAGGCTGTAACATCAAAATGGTTCCATCTTCCACCAATTCCAAACCACCACACCAGAATTCCAAGTACAATAATTTATTACAATAATATAATTTATCCACAAAATCAAGGTGATGAACTAAGGACGAGGGAGGATTAATAACTCAGGGTGAACCAATGCCTAAAACAATAAACAAAACACCTCTAACTTCAGGATGACAACTGACCTACAAACATAAAGGAAATAATTGACAACCAAACTCCCCGACTATCCAAAACAGGAGAAAACAGGAATGCAAAGAAAAAAAGGCGGTTCACCCCTACAGAATCCTCGAACGGCAGGTACTAGTCACAAAAGGCACAAGGGCATCACACAAACACAGAGCATCAAAATGGTGGCTGATTGGAATGAGTGGAGGATGAAGAACACAGCTGCATCTCATCAGGCTCCTTTTTAACAGCTTTGTCCCAGCTGATCTACCAATCCAAACATCCCCTGGCCATCTTCCACCAATCCTAGGAGGGCACCTGCACACTCAAAACAACACTAGAAATACAAAGAGTATAAAAATAAAAGAAATAACATTCCTTATGACTGGGGTCATAACACCCCCACAACTAAGAATGAAACAAACAGACTGTTTCATAAAATAAAATGCCTACACAGCTCTTGACAATGCGTCAGCTATTACGTTGTCCTTACCCCTCTTGTATAGGATCTGCAGGTTGAAATCCTGTAGCAACAAGGACCATCGCATCAGACGCTGGTTAGAGTTTTGCATCTGTTTCAGAAACACCAATGGGTTGTGATCTGTGTACACCCATACTGGATCCACGCTAGAGCCGACGTACACTTCGAAATGTTGTAACGACAACAATAAAGCAAGAGCTTCCTTTTCAATAGTGCTATAATGTGCTTGGTGCTTGTTAAACTTTTTTGAATAATAGCAGATTGGATGGTCCACTCCATAACTATCCGTCTGCAGAAGAACAGCACCGACTCCACACTTACTGGCATCCACCTCTAGCTTAAAAGGATGCTCAAAGTTTGGCGCAGCCAACACCGGTGCACTACACAGCAAAGCTTTAGCAGACTCAAACGCTGTTTGACAGCTAGAGGACCAAACAAATGATCTTGAGGGACTAAGTAGATCTGTTAATGGGCTGACTACTTCAGAAAAGTTTTTACAAAATCCACGATAAAATCCACACATACCCAGGAATCTACGCAGCTCTCGCCTGGTCTGTGGGGCTGGAAAATCAATGATCGCCTGGATCTTTGCAGCTATAGGGCGAACAAGACCTTGTCCAACATGATGTAGTGATTTATTCTACTACGTGGTCGGAACATCTGAAAACTCTGTCTGAAGTATTTCTCCGCTTCCGAGATGCTTCCCTCACCATAAATCTTTTTGTAATCAATGTTTGTAAAGAGCACGTCACGCGGCCCGACTCAGCCTCTCAAGCAGCTTTTAGTTTGCCTCTGAAGTCGTGGAAATAGTTGGGATGGAAGTTCTAATCTTTGTCTTTTTTGCCCTCAAACAGTGTTAAGGATGATTTTTAGAGCTCTGATTGGGTCGGTCATCACACACTGGTGATATTTGTTCTCCGCATTTGACCCACCTCTGAGGGAGCAGTGAGCTGCAGACACGGCTGTGCGCGGGTTTAACCCTCCAGCTAAACCCCTTAATGCTGAGTGTCAAGCAGGGAGGCATTGTGCCCCATTTTTAAGTCTTTGGTATGACCCGACCATGGATTTGAACCCACGATCTCCCAGTCTCAGGACACACAGACCACTAGGCCACTGAGCTGGTTAGATGAGTGATGCAGGTGTGGCTGTTCTGATGTTCCCAGTGTTAAACAGCCTCAATTACATCTTTATGACCTTGGAGTTCTGGACGGGTTCTGACCCTTTCTGTGTTTGGTTACATCATGGCCTGGGATTTCCTGCACTCCTCTTTTATAACTGAACACCTAGAACATTATTTGAATGTTTTTTCTCTGAGGATCACAGCTGAGGAGCATCAGTACGGAAATGTGCTGGCTACAGCAATCATACAGAAAAACTGAGCTTTTCTGTTTCAAAGGGAATCTAAACCAGCCAGTATCAAGTCAAAAGCACAACAGATAAAGGGGAAATCCTCCCACAGGTTGTGTTGGGTGTGTTTGATTCATTCACCTGTGCATTTGTGTTTTTTTATTTTTGCAAAATCTTCATGGACCACTTCTGGATTCTAATGAAACTCTTCAAAACTAATGATTGGATGTTCATCCACGCGTGGCTGACTTGGAATTGAATACAAAAATGTCTGAGTCAGTTTTACAGACATTGAGCAGAAGTTTCCTTTACAACATGAACTCCAAGTAAAGACAGTGGCGGCTGGTGAAAAATATTTTTGGTGGGGCTGTGCTATTTTTTTTTAAACAAACTTGTGCTTTCTGAGCTTTGTGCGCAACTTCACTATTTCCTGAATTAAGCACAGCTCTTTTATTTCCTGTCTTACATCATTGGACAAACTGATTAATCCAGGTGTGTCTGACTGTTGGCACGCTGCCTTGCGGACCAAGGTTGAAAAATACTGCATTAAATTGCACATAAATTAACATGACCATAAATGGTAAATAGGCAATGCAAGAGGCAAGGAACAAAAACATTTTGTTTAATTTCAACATTTGAGTGAACACCAAAAATTATGAGCAGGTCACTGTTACAGTAATGGTAGTAAACACCACTTAGACAAAATGCCAGAAATTTACACTGTTAGGACTTATGGAAAGTGGAAACACTTTCATAGGAAATAATGTCATCAGTATCCTCTTACAAATGTCATATTTCCCACTTTTTGGGACAATAAAACATTTCTGGTTCTCAATGAGATGTTTTTACTTCAAATGTAAAAACATCTCATTGAGAATCAGAAATGTTTTATTGTCCCAAAAGCTGGGAAATTTGTTTGCTGCAGCAGAAGTGTAACAAGTAAAATGGAATCAGATTGATGTATGTAGAAATTTACTTGAAATACACATTTACATGATTAAATATGTATAATAGGTATGTGTGCTGAAATTAGTTTTTACAGTTATTGCACATTAAACAATGTACATGTTATTAAACAAATGTCCCGGTTTGTGGGACAACCAAGGATTTCTGATTCTGATTGTCTTGTTTACAGAAATGTAATGTACAGCTTACCTCTGCACCCAGCTGCTGTTCTCCCTGTCCAAACGTCCTCCGTTTCTTTGTTGGCTGCTGCACTGATGCGCTGCATTCCTCAGTCAGAGAATGAATGGGGTCCCCAATGAGACACAAGTTCCACATCCACCTTCTGTGGATCCCAGCCGTTTTGAATAACAAACACAGAAAGCAAAATACCGCATTAGCGTGATTGCATCCAGCTAGCCACTGCTTCCTGGTGTACCAATTTTGGGAGAAGCGTCGTGTGTACAGTTTACCCTTCTCCTTGTCCTGCTGGCTTATCTTTACGTCGGGCTGATCTGGTCCAAGCTCTTTGACATTAAGTTTTTCCACCATATTTCTCCTCTCGAACGGATACTGGAGAAGAGACCGAACTGAATTCAGTGGCTGCTGAGATCCGGTATCCATGTTGTAGGCGCACTGGCGTCCATGTCTGCGTCTGCGTCATGACCGTCACGAGTCACGACCAAAAACGTGCTGGAGTCGAGACTCTCCGAGTTCTACCGAACACCAACGAAAGCCTTGGAGGTAGCTCTATCGCCCATCATGCTTCTGAAACGTTCTGAAACAACGTCGACGCTGATTGGATACATTCCCATTCCTACCCTTTGATTTTCTTGTCAGCAATTGGACAACTGGTCCCGTCTTGTTTGGGCGATTGAAAAACAGCACACAGCCTCCACCACTCGGCAGAGACCGGCAGAGACCAATATATATATATGATTTATTTTTGTTACAAAACACTAAATTAACTTAGAATATGTGATTATTGTTAATTTTATTTATTTATTTTTTAAAATAAAAATTAAAAACACAGGGGAAACTGGGAGGGCGGCGCCCTATCGCCCTCTACTGGCCAGCCACCACTGAGTAAAGATATTTAAATGATTTAATATGGAGTCTTTGATTTGACTAGAACAGCTTTAACACCATCATTTGTCAATCCGTGGCTAATCCAATGTGTGTCAATCTTTTGATTTATTTAAGGCTCAAACTTGAAGAACTGATCTTTAGTGTAAAACACATGAAATGACTAATATGTAATAAACATGAAAGCAGTCAGGTTTCCATCGTCTCTCCTGTCTGTCCTCGTGTCTCCAGGTGTGTCAGTATGTTGTGTCCGTGAATGGACTGAACGTCCTCTGCCACGACTACCGGACCGTCAGTAACCTGATCCTGACTGGACCCAGGACAATAGTGATGGAGGTGATGGAGGAGCTGCAGGTTTGACTTGGAGAACGTGGGTTTATGGTTCTTGAACTGGACGGATGGACATGGACGACTCCCTCTTTCCTGTTGAGATGAGGCGGATGTTGGAGGACCAGGCTGTCAGTGCCTCCACCTGTGAAGATGAGCGTTTTACTTTTAAAAGAAACAAGACGACATCTGTAATCCACCTTTTCTTTGTCATTCTTGAGGAGAAAACTCCAGTTTTATGGAGAAAACATCTGTGAATTCCTGGTTTGTGTTCTGGATCACGAGGTCGTGATAAAAAAAAGGTCACAGAATCAGAAAGCTGAGAGGATAAAGTCAGCGATAAAACTGAACACATGAATGTTTCATGGAAACACGCAGTGACCTCTACCCGATTGCCAGATTTACTCTCCATTGTGTCAGGAGAAAGGTCACTCTATCCTGTCCTTTGTGTCCTGTCTTAACGAGGTAAAGTCTTGGCTAATGGCCAACGTTCTGCATCTGAATGAGGGAAAGACAGAGCTCATTGTTTTTCACCCCAACAGCAGGGCTGTGGGTCGTTATGTTGATCTTGGCCCTCTTTCTCCATACTCAAAACCAGTTGTCACCAGTTTAGGGGTGAAAATTGATGCTGGACTTAAGTTTGATGCTCACATCAACTCTGTGATCCGGTCCAGTTTCTTTCACCTGAGACGCCTTACAAAAATCAAGCCTATGCTGTCAAGAGCCCACCTGGAGCGGGTACTGCATGCATTTGTAATTTCTAGGCTTGATTACTGCAACTCTCTCTATGCAGGGTTGTGTCAGTCATCACTGCATCGCCTACAGGTTGTGCAGAGCAGCGCAGCCAGGTTCCTGACTGGGACCAGGAAATGGGACCACATCAGTCCGGTTCTGGCCTCCCTGCACTGGCTTCCGGTTTGTTATCGTTCACACTTTAAACTCCTCGTCTTTGTTTACAATTACTTCCAGGGTGGTGCTCCCCCCTATCTAGCCACACTCCTGAACAGACATTCCCCATCATGTGCTCTGTGCTCCTCTGACCAAGGCCTGCTCGCTGTCCCTCGTTCTAGGTGACGTACTCGCGGGGACCGGGCTTTCTTTATCTTAGCACCGTCACTCTGGAACCAGTTGCTACCCTCAGTTAGGCTGTCCCCATCTCTGCCAGTCTTTAAGAGTCGCCTAAAAACCCACCTCCTCTGCTTGGCGTTCCCTGAACATGTTTGAATTTGGCCCTCTTTTATGTTGATTTTATTTTCCTGTTTTCATTGGTTCACTCTATCCCTTGTTTTACCCATTTGTCTTCTACTAGAATGTTTTACCTTTTTTTGTAATTTGTAATTTGAATTGCTTTTATTTTCGATTTATTCACCATATTTAACTTTCTCATGTACCATGTTCAGCGCCTTGGGCTTCCCAACAGGGTTGTGGAAGGCGCTTTATAAATAAAGCTTTGATTGATTGATTGATCGTGTGCTCTTTTTGGCTGATTGAAGACCAGACGCGCAGCTGCATTCTGGACCATTTGAATAGGTCTCACAGCACAGGCTGGAAGACCAGTTAGAAGGTCATTGCAGTAATCGAGGCGGGAGATGACAGTAGATTGCACCAGGAGCTGGGTGGCATGTTGTGTTAGGTATGGTCTGATCTTTCATATATTATACAGTGCAAAGTGGCATGAACGAGCAACAGAGGCAACATGATCTTTAAAGGTCAGGTGTTCATCAATCACAACACCCAGATTTCAAACTGCCTTTGAAGGAGCCAGAGATAGGAAGTCATTTTGGATTGAGATATTGTGCTGTATGGATAGTTTTGCAGAAATGACAAGTAGTTCAGTTTTAGAGAGGTTGAGTTGGAGATGGTGGGATTTCATCCATTTTGATATGTCAGAGAGACAGTTTGATATTCGTGCAGAGACAGTGTGGTTGTCCAGTGGAAATGACAGATAGAGCTGGGTGTCGTCTGCATAGCAGTGGTAGGAGAAGCCATGTGATTGAATGATCTCACCTAGTGAGGTGGTGTATATGGCAAAGAGGTCTTAGTACAGAGCCCTGGGGGACTCCTGTGGCAAGATGGTGCACGGTAGAGGATTGTCCAAGCCAAGATATTCTGATCGTCATGTGAGATACGATTCAAACCAGGAGTGTGCTTTCTCTGTGAGGCCCATGCTAGAGTGTGGACAAAAGGAAGCCATGGTTGACAGTGTCAAATGCAGCCGATAAGTCGAGTAGGATAAGCACTGAGGATTTGGCAGTCGCTCTAGCTTCCGAATAGGTGACCCAGCCCGCGAGGCACTTCTTTGTGGCCCCTGCTCCACTAGCACCCCTTGCAAACTCGGCCTTTAATATTTGAGTACCCCTGGTGTAAAGACTTCAGCCAGTGGCACAGGCCTTAGTGTGGTGAAGATGGCTCAATTGGTACAGACTAAGATGAGATATAGATGGTTTCCACTTGCAGCAGAGGCAACCTGGTAATCATTGTTACAGATGATCATTTTTGTCCAGGCCTGTTCCATGAGTTTATTTAAAAAAATAATTTCTTTGAAGCATGGTTGAAAAGCAATGTCTCACTTTCATTGGCTAAGTTTCAAAGATTGTTTTTATTTTGTCAGATTAAAGTTATTTCTGTGACCACTGTGGGTTTTTCTTACATTGATCGAAGGGTGCCAACAATTTTGTACGTCGGTAGATTAAAGTTGGCTTTGTTATTAAGTGAAATGATGATGTCTCATGACATTAAACAAAAGAATAGACACCTAAAATAAAAATAACCCAAGCAAAGATATCTCCAACAACCTGTAACAGCTGTTATACCAAAAAGGACAACAAAACACACTCATAACACCTGGATGGATTTCACCCTCAACAGTTCTTCAAATTTAATGCGCAAATATTTACAAAATAAAATACTCATAACAACAATAGAGTGAAATTAACAAGACATTCTATCCAAAGACATTAAGGTACACTGACAGGTATTCATCCAATAATTCACTGAACCAGAACCACCCAGAACTCTAATTTGTTCTGAAAGTTAAAGAACTGCACACCTCCGTCTCTTCCAACTTCCTTGCCACTTTCAAAATTATGGTTTAGTTTAATCTAAACAGACATTAAGTAAACGACCCTAAACCACCATTACACATGGTAGAAAATCTGTCTTCACACAGCTAACCTAACCCTAGTCAAGTTATTCAAAAATTGAAAAAAAAGAAAAGAAATATAATCATGCATGAGAAACATTAATGAAGTGGTTCTCTCGCATTTGTAAATGGGAGTTTAGTTGAACATTTATGACTTGGGGGCCAGATGTTGCCATGATCTAGGCTACAAGCCACCAGAGGTATAAGAATAATTTCCAGGATGTAAAACCTAAAGTGATCTCTTTAAGTACTCTTGTATTTAAACAAGTTCTTTCGTGTCATATGTGAACTCGCAGGTGTCTGTTTAAATGTGTCTTTTGGCTAAATCGTTGTCCACAGAGCTCACAAGGAAAAGGTCTCTGTCCTGTGTGTACTCTTGTATGTCTGTTTAAAGTTGACTTATCGCAAAAGTTTTGGCCACAGAGCTCACAAGCAAAAGGTTTCTGTCCTGTGTGGACTCTCATGTGGCTGTTTAAATGTGACTTTTGGCTAAATCTTTGTCCACAGAGCTCACAAGCAAAAGGTTTCTGTCCTGTGTGGACTCTCACGTGGCTGTTTAAATGTGTCTTCTGGCTAAATCTTTGTCCACAGATCTCACAAACAAAAGGTTTCTGTCCTGTGTGGACATTCACGTGACTGATTAAACTACACTTTTGACTAAATCTTTGTCCACAGAGCTCACATACATAAGGTTTCTGTCCTGTATGGACTCTCATGTGAATGTTTAAATTTGCCTTTTGGCTAAATCTCTGTCCACAGACCTCACAGGCAAACAATTTCAGTCCTGTGTGGACTATCTTGTGTCTGTTTAAATTTGTCTTATGTCTGAACCTTTGTCCACAGACCTCACAGACAAAGGATATTTGTCCTGTGTGGACTCTCATGTGTATGTTTAAACTTGATATTCTGCTAAATCTTTTCTCACAGTCATCACAACTAAATGATTTTAGTTGTGTCTGGACTTTCCTGCATGAGTCTACATGTTGCTCGTGGCTAACACTTTTCGTATTAACCAAGTAGTCTGAAGACCTTTTTGCTGAATGACCTGTCACTCTCATATGTTTCTGGAGGGACCACTCATGGAGAAATTGTTTACCACACTCAGGGCAGCTAAAGGATTTGTTGACAGTCTTAACATCTGATGCAGAAGACCTCCTCTCATTCCAGTCATTGTTTACTTCTCCAGTTTCCGGCCCAGAGTCTGACAGCTCAGTGTCTTCATCTCCACTATCTTCAGTCTCTGAGGAATCAGATGTCTGTTGATGATGGTTCAGATCTGGGTTCCTGCTAGTTTCTGCAGCCATCTGGTTAGCTGAGCTGCTGGTTGGAACATCTCTGTCTTGTGTTTGCTGGTGATGAAGTTGTGAGAACACAGGTTTCTCTTCATCATCCTCGCTCTTTATATAAACTGTAGTGAAGGAAAACCTGGCAGCATCAGTCTCCTCCTCCTTCAAATGGAACTGCTCTCCCTGCAGACTGGTCCAGAGTTCTTCCTGTTCCTCCTTTATCTGAAGGTGGTCTGGGTCTTGCAGGTCCAGGTTAGCACTCTGTTCATCAGGAGGTTCTTCTTTAACCAGCACCATCTGTAGGATATCTGTAGGAGACACAGAACCAAATGGTGTGAATTACCAACCGATGTAACTTTATATTCACACATATAAAATCGTATTACTGCTTTAAGCTGGTGAGATCTGAACTGACCCCAAAAACATGAAATACATTTAGAATTTAATGACTTTTTCATGTGCGGTGAAAAATACAGCGATTTAAAAAAAAATTGTAGGTTTACTAGAATGAATCAGATTTTTCTCATACGTTGATAACCTGAAACATTCCTTTAAAGTATTTATTTCACACAGAATACCATAAAAATGGATAATTCTACTTTCTTTGTCATAGGATATGCTACTACTAGTTCATCTGTTTAATTAATTATAAATTCACTCAGATAAAGACAATAAAGTTTACCTGTTACGAAATGGAATATCTACTAAGAAATCTCAAAGTATGCAGCCACAAAAACACTACCATATAAGTTGTATTTATGTGTGCACGTGCATGTGCGTGTGTCTGCTCCGTCTTGTCACATTTATTTGGCACTAAATAAACAGAGCTCAACATCTTGGCTCTCTGAATGTGTCTGAGGTAAAAACCTGGCTTGCCTCACATTTTCTGTGGTTAAACGATAGCAAGACTGACGCTACACTTTTTAAGCCCACAAATATGAAACTTTCCTGTTGTTCCCTCACTCCCTTCACTAAGCCTCAAACTGTGTGCAACCAGACTGGGGGTTAAACTAGACTCGAACTTCTTGAAGACTTCAAATTTCAATGACAATGTTTATGAGGTCTTGTTTTTTTTCAACCTTGCGGCATTACAAGGTTAAAATCCATCCTCAGTTTTAAGTAATAACCTTCGCCGATAAACCTTTGAATGGTCCAGCATCCTAGCCTGGCTGGCCTGCCAGACTCCTCCACTGTTTAATTCTGCACAGACAAAGGGTCTGGGAACTCTCCTATTCAAATAACCCCACCCCGTGAGAATTCTAGCCGAGCCAATCAGCGCTGAGTAGCGTACGTCACACACCATAACGCCAAGTTTCTTATAATTATGCCGACTGAAGTGGAAATAACTGCGGCTCTTTCCTTTGTTCTAAATGACTTGAACACGTCTTTAAAACCACAACAAGGAGAAGGTGCCAAAAGCCTTTCTTCTAAAGAAAGATGTTTGCGCTGTTGCCAGATGCCATTTTTACTACAGCGCCGCGCGGTAGTCGGCTTTTCCGTCTTATTTCTGATTGGTTATTTTTGAGCAGCTTAGTCCCGCCCCTCATGTGCCTCTCTGCCTGTGAGTTACCAGATGCTTTCTCTGTGCAGAATTAAACAGAGGACGAGTCTGGGAGGCCAGGCTACCAGCATCCTCTTACCTATAGCCAAGCTGCTTATTCCTTATGTTCCATCCCGACCCCTACAGTCAGCTGATCACCTGCTTCGGTGCCTCCCAAAGGTCCGATACAAATCACAGGGGACTGTGATGTTTCATCTGCTGTCCCAGCAGGTTCAAATCTTCTCTGATGACACACATATATTTTAGCTTTGGTGGGTGACCCAGTCTTTTAATTCTAAATGATTCCTATGCGTTTTTTAGCTTAGTTTTGATCTTTTTGGTTGCATTCAGTCTGTTTAACAGACATGACATTCTGTTTTAGTCGTTGTATATTGTCGATTTATAAAGTGTTTCTTAGTTGTTTTCTTTAACAATTTTGCAGCTGTTTTTTAGTACCTTTACATCTATGATGTATTTTATCGTTGTTTAGTCATATTGTTATTTTTCTTTTTTTAATGCAAATTTTTGCCTAATCAGAAAATGAAGTTTTTGTTCCATCTGAGCATCTTGCTTCTTCCATGTACAGCACTTTGGTTAGCTGCCATGCTATGTTTAAATGTGCTATATAAATTAACAAAGGTATGGTATGTTGTGTTACTATTTTTTGCACTTTAATTTGTATTTGTTTAGTTAACACTCTCTGGCCACTTTGTGACTGTTAAGCCCAGATGTTAAAATGTGAAGAGGGTGCAACCCTCTGTTCATTGAGCTCCATTGGCTACCGCTAGCAGCATGCATCAAATTCAAATTGCTAACACTAGCATACAAAGTCCGAGATGGTACGGCTCCCATCTACCTGAATCCTCTTGCAAAGGCGTACGTCTTGGCCCGGCTGCTCCGGTCATCACAGGATCGTCGGCTAGCAGTGCCTACACCACGCTCAGGACAATCCAGACTTTTCTCATGCATCGTTCCACAAATGTGGAATGACCTACTAAGCATTACCAGAACAGGGGCTTCCTTTTCGACTTTCAAGAAACTCCTGAAGACCCTGCTCTTCAGAGAGCACCTTCTAAACTAGTACCCTCCCTGCATCCGTCCCCCTCTCTACTGTCCACTCCTTGTCCCCACCACTCCATGATTCTTCATGCTGCCTCACTGCCACCTACGACTGACTGGAAATTGGCTGTTGTTGTTGTAATTGTTGTTGTTAACTTCAAGGGCAACATGCCGATTATCACTTGTAAGTCGCTTTGGACAAAAGCATCTGCTAAATACATAAACATAAAGGAGACATGTGCAGGATGTTCAAATTAAACAAAGGCTTTATTTTCCTTGGGATATGTTCCCGGGAAGAGGCGGCGCTGTTAATAAACACAACGTATCAAATGTACAAATAGCTAACTCAAAATGCCTTCTTCAAAACTAAGGAAATTTCATAAATGGCACACGACACTATCAAAACTAATAACAATGATATTACATCAAACTTATATAGCGCTTTTTAGGTCACTCAAAGATGCTTCACAAAAAATGCAATAAACACATAATAATACAAAATGAAACATAGTAAACAGACTGGGGGATGCTGGGTTGATCCTAAGAGAAGGTCAATTTAAAGAAGTGGGTTTTAAGCGGTGACTTGAAAGTAGAAAGAGACGGCATTCCTGATAATTAGTGGGAGAGAGTTTCAAAGTGTGGGGGCAGCGGCTGCAAAGGCTCGATCCCCATGGTGTGCTGTTTTGTTTTAAAGGGGAAAGGAGGTTGGAGTCAGCAGAACGGATTTGCCGGGAAGGAGAATAGCAGTGAAGAAGTTCCGTCAGATAGGATGGTGCAAGGTTATTGAGGCATTTGTAAGTGATGAAGAGCAATTTGTAATGGATCTGGTATGGAACTGGGAGCCAGTAAAGTTGTTTGAGTACTGGAGTTATGTGGTCCCTGGAGCGAGTGTGGGTGAGTAAATGTGCTGCTGAGTTTTGGATGTATTGAAGTTTTTGTAGGGCTGAGGAAGGAAGTCCGTAAAGAATGCTGTTACAATAGTCCAGTCTAGAGGTTATGAAGGCAAAGATGAATGTTTAGGCAGTGGAGTCAGTGAGGGATGGACGGAGACAGGCAATGTTGCGGAGGTGGAAGCACGATACCCTGTGGACGTTGTTGATGTGGGACTTGAAGGAAAGGGGGGAGTCGAAGATGACAGAGTTTACGGACTGTAGAGGAGGGAGTCACTGTAAGACCGTCAATTTGTAGAGAAATATTTTGAACTGAGGGTAGGAAAGATTTGGGACCAGTTATAATGAGTTCTGTTTTGGAGCAGTTCAATTTGAGGAAGTCGGAGTCCATCCAATGTTTTATGTCAGAGAGGCATCCTGAGATCGTGGAAAGCAAGGGCATAGGAACGAGTTTAATATTGGGGGGGGGGGGGCACATGTTGGAAATCTAACAAATCTGTTGTAGGTCAATACATAGGTCCACCTCACTGAAAAAAATACATTTAATGATTATTTCTGATTCTAACGTGTCACTGAGTGTTTCATGCAGGCTGAACATGAACATAGTCTAGAATAGAATAGAATTTATTGTAATTGCTCATGGCAATTAAATTACAGATGGTCCGCCATCAACAGTGCACAAGACAATAAATGGCAATAAATGTCAAAAACCATGAAGGACTAAAAACAATTTAAAAACATTTAGCAAACAACAAGAAAGTACAACCAGTGATTCAGATCTGCTAAAACAATAATTTAAAAGGATTTAAAACAGTTTAGTCCACATTACTGATGGGGATGTGGGGGGTTGAATGGTGCTGTTGTGTTGAATGTTCTGATGGCCCAAGGGAAGAAGCTGTTGGAAAGTCTGGTGGTGTGTGATTTAACTGACCTGAAGTGGCGCCCTAAAGACGGGCGTACACTGTGCGACTTTTTCACTTTTTTGAGCCGATTTTCCAGTCGTGCGAGAATCCACGACATCGGGGCGAGTTTTGCACCGAGCAGTCGTGTAGTGTACAGGGGGTTACGAGAGGCGATTAACACCACGTGACCAGCTGCCGATCAGCTAGTCGTGAGTTCGCAGGGACTTCTGGTGTGTTTAATATTTTGCTCGTCCCTCGTGAGGGTATCGCACTGTTGAAGCAGCGCTGCTAGCAGCTACGATCCAAAAAGTACCAGAACCGCTCACGGCGCATGTGCGCGCAATCCTGCATCAACGCCGGTCGCTCGCTATTTCCCTAATAACACACGCTGTTTGTTTTTGTTTCTACACTTTTTTTTACTCACAAAGATTGTCAAGAAAGCCTGTTTGTCGTGTTCATGTCAAATTAAACTGATCGCAAAACACAGATTTACTCTTTCGTTTTCCTCATCCAACCCCCATACATCCCTGTGTGTCCTCCTGCAGCACTCCCGAAGGACAACAGGCAAGACAAGACAAAAAAGTCTGACGTGTTGAGTAAAAACTGCTATTTTTAGCACATTTTTAGGGCCGACGTGTTGCTACCAGACGTACAGTGTGAGCAGTCAGGTCGCATGCGAGAACTGGGTCGTACAGTGTGAGCGCATGACTCGTGAGATCTGCTCTGTGAGGAAGTCGTACAGTTTGAGCTGAAGCTGAACGCTGCGAGTGAAAAAGTCGCACAGTGTACGCCCGGCTTAAGGGCAACAGTTCAAACAGGCAGTGGGCAAGGTGGGTGGTGTCACGGAGGATAGCAGCGGTTCTCTTCAGGCAGCGGGTTCTGGAGATGGCCTCCAGGGATGGCAGGGTGCAGCCAGT